CCCCCCCCTTGTCCCACTCCCTGGGAGTGTACACAGCAGCAAGGAGCCAGCACCCCTCTCCCCCCGACCAGATGAGTTGCCTGTGGCTCTGTCTTGCTGCCTGGCCAGGCCCTATGGCTGCATGGCTGGACCCCGACTGAGCAGCACCCCCACCAACCCTGCCCTACCCCCTCCCTAACTGTGGGAGCCTCAGTCTGACAACCCCTACCCCCAGTCTTGGCTACAGACAGCTGGGGGATCTGTTCTCCACTGCTGCGCTACCTGACTTTTGCTGGGGGGGTGTGTGTGTGTGTGTGTGTGTGTGTGTGCGCGTGCGTGCACGCGCATGTGCACACACACCCCCACATGCATGTGGTGCTCCTTTTGTCCTATTCCTCTCAGCCCCAAGCAGCCCCTTGCGGGCTGGAACTCTGCCAGCCTGCAAGGAGAAAGCTGCAGCTTCCCATACTCTTCTTAAAGGAGAAAATCCACATTTTTCTGCATGAATGAAAAGCCTTTATCCCTGGCCATGACCCCAGAAATACTTCTGTGATGGATATCAACAAAAGAATCTATATAGATTCAACTAATGCAATGGACAGGTGTTACATTTGTGCTGGTAAACGAAGCAGGGCTTCCCCAATGCTAATTCCTGGCCTGCTGGTGTTTAAATCACTTTTAAATCCATTTTCTTTAAACTGAAAGGCCAGGAACTGGGGGTCGGGGAGGCTGTCCCTGGCCTTGTGTCCTTGTACCTCCAGCTTTTAAACCACTGTGTGAACCTACTCAACTGTTCAGCCAAGTGACTTTCCTTTAGTGTCCGTCCTGAAATGTAATTGTTCCTTCTCTTCTCCCTTGAAATGATGATTAAAATCATTGTTGCTGTACTCGGTGGCAGCTTCCCCAGCATTTGTTCCTTCCTGTGTGTTGGATCAGAAACACCTGAGTATTCATTAGGGTGTACCACAGTATATGGGAATATTCAGTAGTATGCTATTTTAAAAGCAGCTAGACTCCTTACTATCTTCAAACCATACTTTTATGCTCCCGAGTCATCAGTTCAGTCTAAAAGTCTCACTATTTCTATCCATTGTAATTCTGCCAGTTGTAATTTACAAGTAAAAATACTCTATTGCAGTTGTATCTAAAAGGATTGTGCTTTTTTCAATCCTGTTTAAGTTTAAATTTGTGCTGAATGTATGTGATGGAGGAGGAAGTTAGGAATCCTTTATTGTTTCCATGTAATAGAAATGGTAAACCTGTTTGTAGGGCTCCAGAAAGCTTTCTCACTGTTAGTATTTTTGCTTCTTACACTTCACATCTCTGAGGGGTGGCACCCTTCTAGTTACGAAGTAACTATGCTGCTCCGCATGCTAACTGGAGATGTCTGTTGCTCCCTAAGCAAAAATATGCATGCCCCACAATGTGGTGGTTTTGAATGTCCTAAGGAATATTGTTGGCTAACAAGATTTCAGCTGCAAACATATTCTTTATAATGGCACTAGGGACACCATTTATAATCTCTTTCTAAAAGTATATAATTTCTGTCTGGTTAAATTTCCTGGTTGTTTAGCCTTCTATTCCTTGTTTTAAAAGCATGGAATACCCCATTTTCTTGAATACAAGATGATTCCCCCCCCCCCCATCATTAGGTTCTGTAGATGGAAAATATGTAAATTAGTTACAATTTTCCAGGTATAGAATCTAATTGCTGGAGGTTTACCTTGAATTTGTCTCCCTCCCACTGCTACAGCAGAGAAAATATATATCTGGGGGGTCAGGTAGCCCTCTTGCTCTCTGCTCTCCAGCCAGGCTTCTTCATCCTGTAGTCCCTTTCTGTGCTCCATACTGTCAGACCCTGCTTGCCCTGGACACAGGGAAGTGAGTGGCAAATTTGAAAGCACTGACCTTAAAATAAACATGCCTGTAATAATTTGCACAGAAGCAAATTACTGAAAGTACCCATAGACTTAATTCATTTAGAATTAATACATTTGACCTTATTTGAAATTGTTGCAAGTTTTAAAACAAGTATTCTATAAACGTACTTTCAAGAAGCACTCTTGTATCTGCTTGTATGTAGTACAAACTTAAAATAAAATCTTTTTCAAAGCCAAATCAGTTCCAAATTCAACTGAGCAAAGCTCAGTAGTCAAGTCCCAAAATTTGACTTGGGCAGAGCTCAGTTGTCAAATGTGTGTGGCTCTATCACTGGGCAAGTATCCTCCCTCCTAGACCCATTGGTTTTGGGCTTTGGATACTCCCCAAATCCAGGCAGGCATCCTACATTCAAGCACCAGGCCTGGATGCCCTGGGGTTCAGATGCCCTATCTCCCTTTATCTTAGCCAAAAGGCTGCAAAATGTGAATTGTTTACTATATTATTCCAGAGCCAAAATAAACTGTGTGTGATTTTAGTCCAAAGCCAAAAGGCTCATGATTTACCATAAGGTTCATTGGGCTGGGCCTCAGCAGATTCAGTAGCATTTAAAGCTGTGGTGACCCTATAGCACAGCACTCTATGTACTCCAGGTATTCTCCAGCCCCTTCCTTGCTTCCCCCAAAATCGTGTGCATTTAATCCTCATTCATGACTGGAACTGGGCGTATTTTGTCAAGAATCCTGGGATCCTCCAAAAATGTATATGCACATAAGGCACAGGGTAACCTGGTCTGGCTCCACCTCATGAAGGGCATGGCCACGTTAAATATATGTGACAGGATGAGAGATGGGGCAATAGGGATTCTGGATTAACTGTTTGGGGCTCCATTTTTAATGATGTTTGCCAGACATGTAAGGCTGTTCGAAGAAACAGGAATCATTGGAAGTTGGGAAAGAAAGATACAGCTCAGCTTTGGGGGTGAAGAGAAGAAGTCTAAATGTATGCAGTGTAGTGACTTACCATGACTTGAAAAAGAGTCAGCACTGAGGGGACTGAGCACAATGGGTACTACTATCTTATTCAGATAAGATCAAATGTAACATTTTTGGCACCTTTCTTGCTTGCTCCAATGGTCTTATGGCTAAGGGCAAGCAAAATTCGGGGGCATCTGAACCCCAAGCCTCTGGATTTGGGTCTGCATGGAGGATGCCTGCCAAAGGTTTTGGAAACATCTTAAGCCCCAGGTGCAGGTGGAGGATGTTTGCCAGTAGTAGGGCCACTTATGGTTCTGGACTCTTGGATTAGGAATTAGTTTCAGCTAATTTGGCCTTGGGTACAAATTAATAAAAACAAAAAAACCCCCCCAAAAACATTTTTTGGCACCAAGGGGAGGGTGTTAGGGCTGGCTCTGGCCCCTCTCAGTGCTGGCCTCATAGTACAGTACCTCTAGGCCCAGTGCCAGTTCCCTGTGGAGGGAACACCCACCTGTTTTGGCGTTGGGGGGGCATTAAGGGATGTGCATGCATGTGCACACACAAAGGTTTCCATCAGCATGTTTTTCCAATATGAGCAAGCCGTGTGTGTTTATAGTCATGCTCAGTGTTGGCTGAATTTAATCAATTTTCAGTCAGTTTCCATTACTGAGAACATGCTGCTTTTGGCAGCAGTTTAAATGCGCTGTCTATCAGTAATGATGTCTCCTTGTATGTGAATGTACAACGAGGTGCTTTTTCTCCTGTGCTGATTGGGGGGGGACCTTATCTTGTTTTTAAGTGACTACAGTAATTAAAGCGCATATATATACTTGAGGTTTCAGCTACTAAGTGTTCTTTGTGTTTGCGGGGGGATTTTTTAGGAAGAAGAAAGGAAGCGTCAAGAAGAAATGGAGCGGCAGCGACGAGAGAGACGATACATCTTACCTGATGAGCCTGCCATCATTGTACATCCTAACTGGGCAGCAAAAAGTGGAAAATTTGATTGTAGTATCATGTCTCTCAGTGTTCTTCTGGACTACAGGTTGGAAGATAATAAAGAACATTCTTTTGAGGTAGTTCATTTATATTACTCTGGTCCAGTTTCAAAGTAATAAAGTGCTCTACAAGAAAACAACTTTTTGGGGTTCTGAGAAACAGATTGTAGAACCCAACTGTTGAATGAGGACTTCATCCAGTGGTTCTTAGCTTTTAGTAATTCTGTTGCAGCATAAAGTATTATGTAATGCATTATTTCAAAATATCAAGCTGGACCCGATGATCTGTAGGGTGTCTTCCAGTCCCCAACATCTATGAAACTATCTGTATTTTTAATATAGTACTGATACTTTTCATTTTTTTAAATATAGTTGGTCAAACAGCATATGCACTTCCTTAACTTCATTTCTGGAAAAGCTGTCTAGACTCAGATGCTGCAATTACTACTATATGGTTGCTTTATCACTCTAAAATAAACACATCCTCCTATTTTCCCTCTATTAAAGGGAGTCTTGGGAAGGTCATTAAGGCCAGTTCTGGTATGTTTCTCTACTTCTGAATGTATTGTATTTATATGATGAGTATATTAAGACCATGGTGGCTGAACCATGGCTCATAAGCTGCATGCAGCTCTCTGGCATGGTACTTGTGGCTCTCCGGGGCTGCTCTGGGAGACACTGGGGGGCTGGGGCTTCAGCCGTGCTGCTTACCCTGGGGCGCACTCCCCACGTGGAAAGTCGGAGTGGCTCAGTGGGACCAGGGCAGAGTGGTCACCTCCACTTCAGGTTGCTCAGCACCCCTTCTCCCCCAACTCTCTGGCTTTGACGGAGGATTGGATGTGGCTCCCAGGGTAAGTAAGTCTGGCCACCCCTGTATTTTAACATATTTCAGAACATTAATACATTTAATTCACAGTGGCTTTTGCCTTATGTTTGTTTGTTCTTAATGGTAAGCATTCTGTTCATCCCGAGTGGTGAAGAGCTCATGAAGAGTCAAATATTTGTTTTCTACTGCCTACTCGTAAATAGCATTCTAATGAATATAGTTCACTAACTCTTCCCTTAATTATTTCTTATCTGATTGTTTTAATGAAACAGCCACCTAATATTTTCAAGCCTGTTTACAGCCCTGGTGTTTGCTCCATGCATTCCTCTTTTTTAGATTTCTTTTAAGGACTACCTTTTGTTTTTCCACCTCTAGTATTTCTCCATCAAAACTTGAAACTCAGCTTTATGGTCTCTGCTTTGTGCTTTTAGCCTTCCTTAAGCTCAGGCCAACTGCTACTTTGCATATGTACTTGATATATTTTGACTTTAGGTTTCTATTTTTAACTTGTTAATTTATACTTTTGAGTTTTTAATACATTTGCAGGTAGCACTTTAGTTCACATGCCTAACCTTTTTTTTAATTACCCATGTAGTGGTAGCTGATCCTTGTAGTATTTAATTTCTCTGTAAATCTTTTTTTAAGTTGATATTGTTATCTTCAGGTTTTTTGTGCCGTTTCTTTATTTTTAAAAGTATTTCTATTAATTTGATCTAAATGCCAATTCCGTTTTATGGGAAAAGCAATATTATGTCCGATTTTTAATTAATCTTGGCTTAAAAAACAATAAAACTTTTTTTAGTTCTGTTTTGCATTGTTTTTTATGGGGGTTTGTTTTACTAGTTTAAACTTGAGTATCTTTTTCCATAGTAAGTCATAATCATTGCTTTTTTTTTTTATAGTATCTACTATGCAAATGTTTGTGTGTTTAGTTTTTGTTTTGCTGTACAAATTTAGTCCTAGACTTAAGCAGGCCAGTGCATGCAATTGTAACTCTTGTTTTCAAGGAAGCCATAATCTAATGTGCTAAAATTTTATTTGCATATACATCATAAGTTGATAAGTTACTCTTTTAATTCACCCATGCATTTTAATGGGGACAGTAGGTCTAACATAAATATAAACATTTTTACATATTTTTCTGTGTCACATAGTGGAGTACAACTGACTATATAACTGTGGTGGTCCAGGAAATATGCAAGAAACAAGGGTTTTTTGGTGATGTCTTACTGGACCAATAGTATAGTTGGGTGAGATGTTGGACATTCTTGGCCACAGGATAGGAAAGGAAGTGATTTCCCCCAAAACCCTTGCTTTTCTCTTAAATATCATAACTTCAATGACTTTTTCTTGTGTTTTGATGCAGGTTTCATTGTTTGCAGAACTTTTCAATGAAATGCTTCAAAGGGATTTTGGTGTCAGAATCTATAAAGCACTGATATCCCTTCCAGAGCGGGAAGAGAAAAAAGACAAAAAGAGCAAAAAGGAGGACAGAAAAGAGAAAAAAGAAGAAAAAGATGATGAAACTGATGATCCAAAGCCTAAAAGGAGAAAATCTGGAGATGATAAAGATAAAAAGGAGGATAAAGAAGAGAGAAAGGTTTGTATTTTTTTAAACCTGAGTACTGTGCTGCTAGGATCAGAAATAGTCTTCTGTGTTCTACACTACTAGTTCCCAAAACTTTGTTCACACAGTTAGTTAAGTTGTGTGGATTGTTAGTTTGTTTAGATCTTCCATTATTCATCTTTAACAATTGTATAATTCTGTATTTTTTTCCTAAGCATCTTAAAGCTTAAATCAGCTTTGTTATTTGTCAGTGTAACGTTCAAGTTTACACATACTACTCTGGAACATCAAGGTTTTATATTAACATTCATGAGGGTTTTTTCATTTTGTTGTTGCCCATCTCCCTCACGTAATGTCTAGCAATTTTTGATTACAGAGGGAAGATAAAAGGAAAGATGATGCTAAAGATGAAGAAGAAACTGAAGATGACAATCAGGAAGAATATGATCCAATGGAGGCCGAAGATGCTGAAGATGAGGATGAAGGTATAACTGTATGAATATTTTTGATCTCAGAGCATCTTTATCTTGCTACTGGATATATTTGTTAAATTTGAGAAGGCACTAAGATCAACTAGAAGAGTAAATGTACAGTAAATTGTGTAAGTGGCCCTATCAGGATGAAAGCCTTATTGTGATAAGTGTTATATAAATATAGAATATAAAATTGTTGGTGCAGCCTAGATACAAGTATTCAAAAGTAAAGTACATACATGGAAGTGACTTTCAGTAATGAAGAGCCTTGAAGTATGCATCTGTAACTCCCATTGGGCTTGGCAGGAGATCAGTATTCAGCACCTCTTAGTATGAAGCTACTTTATTTAAATGCCTAACTCTTATGCATCCAAGTTACTCTGTTTTTTAATGTTTTTTCCTGTGTATCAGACTAGTGCAGTTGAGGGTATTTAATGAAGTGCAACATGAGGAGCCCTTTTGACTTTGTCCTCCAATTTAAGACTGGTGGTACCTGGGGCTTTTCACATAGAAGCAAGGGTAATGGCACAGCAGCTTTTTTCTGCATTCCCAGAGCTGTGGTGATGTCCTCTGTTCCCCTGTCCAAGATACAGGAGTGAGTAAGGCAGGCTATATTCTTCTGCAGAATGCAACCTTAGGGATAGCATTTATTGATATATTTGTGCTACTAGGTCATGGAGTTCAGTTCAGTTGAGAGGCATGGGGCAATTCATGTTTCTCAAAGGTATGTTGTTTTCTTAGCAAAAATTTTTAATGAAAGCTTGGATTGGATTGTAATCCTGTTTATTTTGAAGTTTCAGGACTTGCATGCACTAGAAATAGTGCAGTCGTGTAATTTTTTGAGAGACTAAAATTCAGAATGAAATGATTTTGATAGTAAAATGTTGTGTGAAATATATTCTCTTTTCATCTTTCTTTCATTTGAGTCTGACTTTAGAGGGTCTTTAGATAGATCAGCTTCTTATTATAGGGATTTTTTTCATGTTGTAAAATGCTTTGGAGAATGATCAGGTGACTTCCTAATAGGGGTAATGAAGATGCTATCTGATGCAGATTTTTTAGGTCTTAATAGGGCTTAATAGTAAATGAGTTCTGTGACGTATATTCAGAGTTATTTTTAAATAAACAATTGCTTTTAGCTTTTTTCCATGCAAGTTTAAATGAACTAGTAAAATTAACTATATGCACTTTCAAAATGAAGATGAAGAACAAAATTGTATTTTAAGGACCCAGTTGTGCTAAATGACACTTCCCCTTTCCATTTTATGTTTTGGAAGAATCTCACAATTATCTTGTGTTTTTTGTTTTTGTACAAAGTATTTCTATTCAAATATCATACATGAGACTTTGTAGTAGTAGTTTAAATCTGCTAATTTATTGTGATTGTACCAAATGTTGCTTCTGTTTTATAGATCGGGATGAGGAGGAAATGAATAAGCGAGAAGACAGACGAGAAGGAAACAGGCACTGTAAAGAGAGGTCGTCTAAAGATAAAGTAATTAAAGCCTTTTTTTTACGTATTCATGGCCTTCATTAGACAAGTTCTAGTTAAGGTGGCACTTTTATTTGAATTGTATGACCTGCTTTGTCCCATTTGTTATCCTGAAACTTAGCATCTAAATAAATTTAAAGGAATCTTTGAGAGCTTCTGACAACTAATCAGTTATTATAATTAGTCTTTATTAATTTATAATAACTAAAAAGATAAAATATACACAAGTCATGCAATGTGCTTACCAGCCTAAAAGGCTTGTGGGTAAGTCCTGCCCATGCACAAGAAGTAGGTAGTTGGCATAATTTATGTACCAGTTGGAGATACATCGATAAAAGCCCAGTGAAACTAGGAAAGACTGCAGCCCACTTCAACCCCACTGTATTCATAATGCTTAAATTTCCCTGTGAACCACTGAAGTTGCTGTAATGTGACCTGAAATTACTTCCTTTTTTGGAAATCTTAGTGTAAACCAGAGCTCCTTTACATTTAAAAAAAAAAAAAAAAAAAAGTTTGGAGAAGTTATAGTTAATAAGCTACTACATTATTTGGCATAATTATGAAATCTACAGCTTTCAATGCAGGGAAACTATGTTTTTTGTCATAGCTTGTCCTTATCCTGGAGGGTCAAAGAAATTCAAGACTAAGCATAACATAAAACTTTCCTACAAATCGTAAAGTTTGAAAGTAAAACAGATGTTTTATCCTCTCTGTTCCTCCCCTGAAGAAAATGAGGAAGTGTAAGAACAGTTTTAAAGGTTTTGGTTTTTTTTAAAAAGGCTGAAAATGAATCTTGTGTGAATTTAATGCCAATTTAACATATAGTTATGGCTATTCCCATTATGAAATAAAATATTTGCAACTATTTGAAAGGGTATTGGCTGTGAACACCTTTGTGTACTATTTCGTTATGAACTGTAACCGAAACAGAAAGGGAAAAGAATCTTCAATTTATATCTATGATGCAGTGTTCTGTGCTTCACATCAATTAAACATTGGCCTATAAACTGAAAAATGCTGTGCCAAATAATGATGTACTTCATTTGATTATGTAATACTGGCCTTATTGATAACTTGATTCCAAGGGAGGATAAGATGGCATGGTAGAATCTACTTTCTTAATTCAAATTTGTCATCTTCCATTTTGGCTTGAAAAGAATGGGAAAACGATGATGTTGTGACTTCCTAATATATAATGTATTCTGTTTAGGAGAAAGACAAGACCCAGATGATTACTGTTAACAGGGATCTTCTGATGGCCTTTGTTTATTTTGATCAAAGTCATTGTGGATACCTTTTGGAAAAGGACATGGAGGAAATACTGTATACGCTTGGACTACATCTTTCACGTGCTCAGGTTTATTTTAATAGTTTTACAGAAATGTATTTTGCAATAAGGCAGACATACTAAAGGAAAAATAGCGTATATTTGTATGTATTTAACAACTGCTTTGTAACATCTATACGCAAAAAGACAGTTAAGATCAGGGGACAGTCTTAATTTTTGAGTGCTTTATCTTCTTTCGTGTAATATTTTTCATGGCATAATATTAAATATACCCTGTCAAGGATATGTTAAAAATGTATACATGGCCTAAATAACATGTTTTTTGGCTTTTCTAGAAAGTTACCAGTACCCTGTAGGCAATTTTAATGTTGATTTCTCCCCCCACGCCCCGGTCTTGTTGAAATTTTGAGCCCTAACATACCATAAGATTTCTTGCTTTGTGGCTCAACCATCTATAATTAACTTGTTTAAGCAATAAAATATTTGTTTAAAAATATTTTTATGAATATGTGGGATTAACACCATTACATTATTCAACCATGTAACATAATATTGGTTTCCTTTTGTATATTTTAGGTTAAGAAACTACTTAATAAAGTAGTACTTAGAGAATCCTGCTTTTACAGAAAATTAACAGATACCTCAAAAGATGAAGAAAATCAAGAAGAATCGGAAGCCCTACAGGAAGATATGTTAGGTAATATTTATTTGAATGGTTGTACAACTTCACCATAAAATTACTCGTGTATTAATGATAGAAGGGGGCGGGGGGTGATATTTTACTTCCTTACAAACTTGTGCTTAGTTAGAATTAGCAGGTGCTGTAAAATTCCATGGTAGGCTTTCGGCAGTTGGTAAACTACAGGTCTTCTGGTTACCCATAATCCCTGTTAAGTTTCCTGTGCAAACACTGTATGCTGAAAGCAGAAAGTGGATATGTCGTTATCTAGCTTTCCTTAGCTGTTAAAAGAACTGCATCTCTGTGGAGGACAGTACTGTACAGAGAGAAAACAGCCTCATGTCATGTCTCTAAGTTGGAGCTTTATTCATGCAGATAGCCATGGGAATGGGAAAGGATTGAAAGTTTCATTCAAGCAGCTTTCCCATGTTATAGCCCTTCCCACATGAGTCACTGTGGGGTTTTTTAATCCCTTGTTAATGCAAGAAGAGGGCATATTGATCTTGCTTTGATTAGGAGCTTTTATAAACAAATGTGGGCAGCTAAGATAATGTTCCAGTTGGTTGGTAGCTAGCTAACACAATTTGTATAGTGTATTTTATCTAACACTGTTTAATCTCATGTAGGAAACAGATTACTCCTGCCATCCCCTACTATAAAGCAAGAATCCAAGGGAATAGAAGAAAATGTTGGCCTCATTGTGTACAATGGAGCTATGGTGGATGTAGGCAGCCTCCTGCAGAAACTAGAAAAGAGTGAAAAAGTGCGGGCAGAAATAGAACAGAAGCTTCAATTACTGGAAGAAAAAACAGGTATGTAAAGATGCTGCTTGACAACTTCTCTAACATTCATTATTAAAAAAAAACAAAAAACAAAAACTACCATTTGGGGATAACACAAATGATGTGGCTTATGACCCAGTGTTGTGAAACAGTAGTGCCCTGTCAGTCATCCACTGTTTTCCCTCATACTGCATTCCTAACTTACACAACAGCCACTTGTGGTTAGCAAATTATCTAGTTGGATGTAACAGTCCTATGTCTGCCTTTTTTTCTTAGAAGTTGTTATATCTGATTAATAGTAAAATCAGAAGGCAATATCAGTTTAGTATTAAAATCTCAATGCTTATACAACATTTTTAATGTGATCTTTTAAAATGTTTTAATGTTTTGGAAAGCAGAAAGGATTATTATGAGGAAAATATAAAGCATTTCAAATCACTTTTTTTCTTTTCTTTGTCAGATGAAGATGAAAAGACTATATTACATTTGGAGAATTCCAACAAAAGCCTGTCTACGGAGCTTAAAGAAGTCAAAAAGGACTTTAGCCACTTACAAGAAAATTTGAAGATTTCAGAAGATAAAAACTTGCAGTTTGAGGGCCAGCTGAATAAGACAATCAAAAATTTGGCCACTGTTATGGATGAAATACATGGCGTTCTTAAGAAGGTTAGGATTTTGTAACATCCTCTTACTATTGTCTATAACTTCTATAAGATGAGCTGATTTTTTTTTTTTAATTATTAATTTGGGCAGGAAGGAGAAAGGTGGTGCTGTCCAGAATGCAGAGACCTTTGTCAACTAGTTAAGATTTAAATAGGTATTGGTAAAAAGAAATAAGGGGTGGGAGTGTTTTCAAGTCTAAAAGTCAAGGATAACCAACTTAAAAATGAAAATTAATAGGTCATGTATCCAAAACCACATTGACAGTGCCCTCATATATTCAGTAACTGGCTGAAATCTTTTCTGCTCACTTTTAAGTCTGCACTGAGCCAAAGAGCCATTTGACTGGGGAAACTGATATAGAGACTTCAGCAGACTTCTGGGAGACATTTTGGTATCACTGTCTTGGACCAGCTTTTTAAATCCTTAAGCATTAGTTTCCCTTTGTGTAAATTTGGGATGATGACCTGTAACTACTTCAGAGGATTATTATGAAGCCTAACTAAATACTTTGAATAAATATAGCTTATAATTGAGATGTCTGTGGCAGAGGTGGCACTAGAATTTGAGTTGCTTGCTTCTGTTTGTTCATTTTAATGAGAATCAGTGGCACCTTGGGAAGCTCCATAGAAATAAAGTTTATGAAACTTGCTTAACTTAATGGTGCAATTTATTTTTTATACTGTGACATACCATGTTCATTTTAGTTTTGAAGAAGAGAGTAGTAGTCAAAACCAGACTTCTCATGTAAAAGACTTCTTGCCCTGAAGAAGTTTCTGGCTAATTGTGGTGCTGGAGCTAGGAAAGAAAGGAGATAAGCAATAGTTTACATTAAAACAGATTTAAGAAACAGTATTTTTACAGCTCTTGGAATACCATATATTATTTAAGAATCTTTCTTTTTTTTTTTTTTACTTTTTACCTCTTAATTTTGACATGGAAAATTAATTGTAAATAACTTCACTCTTGAGTTGTCAAGTATTAGTCTGATATAACTAGTTGGGTTGCAGGTGTGGATGTTTTCTGTTGTAATATAAAACAAACTGTTTAGCTGCTTCTTATCTTTGATTTTAAAACTGTTCATTTTTTTAAATAAAATCCTTTATTCATGCCTAACTTAACTTTTATTACCTTATATTTTATAGGAAGAAATTGTGTTGAAACTTTAAAATAATTTTGTAGCTCTCAGCTGTCAGTTTAGTATCAGAATAAATTGCAGCTGTTGGAATTGCCTTAAATTCTTTTACAGTTCACCTTGTAAGTACTACGACCAGAACTTACAACGTTGCCTTTGTTGTTTTTTCCACAGGATATTGTGAAGAATGAAGATAAAGATCAAAAATCCAAAGAAAATGGAGCAAATGTATGATAGAGAACTGCTGCTGTCTAGAAGAGTGGTGTTACATAATGTAATATAAATCATGATACCAGAATGTATGGAAGTAATGCATGTCTGATTTTAGTAGTATAAATATCTTAGTTCTGAAAAGATGTATAAAGTTTTATGAATGTGAGTGTCTGCTTCTGAAGATTGCTTGTAATTCCTAGCATTCAATTTGAGACACTCCTTGAGTGAAAATAATTTTGCATTCAAAAATGTTTTAGGATGAACTTTGTTATAGTTTTAACTCTAATAAAGTTCATCAATTTAATGGACAGTAGTAAGTATTTAATTACCACGTTTTCATTAAAGTCTAGTGAAATCAAAATTGTCATTATTTATAGAATTACCATTTTTTTAGGTTTTATTTTTATTTCAGTCTAATTAGTCTTTTAAATTCAAATATAAATCACAAAATAGCATGCTGCTTAAGTTTGTAAGTAAAGATTTTTTTAAGCGAGAAAATTGGATTTTTTTTTACTTGTCACAACTTTTTTCTTCCAATTGTAACTTTCTCCCCCAGAGCTGTTGTATTAAAGTCTCACAATATACAGTAGTTCAAATGAAATAAGAAAGCAATAGAAGCCTACCAAAATATTGGTAGGGCTGTGGATTTATATGAAAATATACAGGCCTGTTTTAATGTATGTCATTTGTGTTCCTTGAATTGTTCTTATCCCTGGATTAATATATATGGTCCTTTTTAAAAACATCAATACAGTGTATTAAAATGTATGGTTGGATACTAGGCCAGTGGATGTCAGAATAACACCTTACACAGAGGAAAAAATGCTACTGTTGTAAGTCTTTAATTAAATCTAACTCCTGTCCTAGCATGTGTAATTCCTTCAAACCCTTAAAGCTCTCTGGAAGAATGGATGCATAAATACTGAAATACTAGCTTGAATTGTAAAGAGTAAGACATTTCTTATTTTGTTAGAAGTTGATGAGGGTACTACCTTTCGTATGTGTTCACAAATTACTAGGATCTTAATTTTCAAGCTGAATTGACATCTTTGTCAGTGGCAGCATGTTGAATAATATAAAGTCCGAGGAATCATATTTTCAAGCAACTTTATACTAAACTAGTGATTTTTTTTTTTTTTTGAAGAGGAAGGTTGGGGGTAGAATTCTTTTTTTTTTCCTTAATAGAATGGTGAATTTTAGCAAATTCATTTTATATGTAGATATCCTGGGGATCTAAATACCGGTTAAGGGAATTGAAGTGCCATAATGCATATGAATAATCTACATGGGACCCATATAGCTTTACTGAAAAACACATTAAAATGCCTGAAATTGTTTTGTTCAATAAGTGTAAGTTGGTGCTTTTATCATTGGTTTGTTTCTTGGGTTTTTTAAAGCCAAACTAGTGAAACATTTTTTCACTATTAAAATAGCATGCATACACTTTTCTTCTCATTTTGTTTCAATTTTAAAAGCATATGGTATATGCAACGTGTTAATGCATGTTGTATTTTAAAAATGCGATCAGTTATGTTAACAAGACTGACACTCGCTGCTTTGCATTAACTGACTATGCTAAACTCCGATGTGAATATTAAGTTTCTTGATTTTTTTTTCCCAATAAAAATGTATAATTGATAAGGACACTAATTTAAGTTGCTTATAAACAACCTAAATGAGATCCTACACTGATGATGTCTTACCAGCTAATATTCTCTGAACAAAATAAATTTGTCTTTTACTTTTGTATGATTTGGCTATTAAGGATATTCCTTGCAAAATTCTTAAACTTAAAGTACATATACTGTTTTTTTATGAAAGGAAAGGTTTGTGCAAAACTTAATTTCTAACTTAATGTTCAATAACATCTATATATTACCCTGCATGTAAGTAACTAAATCCATGCCTGAGAGAGAACGTGAACAAAGCTAATGATGGTAGATAGGAGGGAATGTACATTAATGCTTTTAACTATGGACTTCTGAGTGTTGTATATGTAAGCACCTGAAAATAATCACAAGTACAAAAACTGGACCTAATTGCAAACACATAAAGGGGGCGATGCATGATGGCTGTCAGATGATCATTACAGATCTCCATGGGGTGAGGCAAGGGGGCAGGTGGCCTGACCCCCACTTCATCTTGGAAGTGAGTGACTATGGTATTACTATGAACTTGGCCAGTCTAGTGGGGCTTGGAGAGAAAGATGGTGCTTCCTGTGTGATGATCAGGGATCTGAGTTTTCTGTTTGCTGCAGAAAAACAGATTTTCTCCTTCAGCAGAGAGAAAAACATGGATTTGTCTCCTTTAAAGGAGAAAAACAAGGGAAACAGCGGGATTCTCCTTGTAGGTTGGCAGAGTTCCAGCCTGAAAGGGGCTGCTTGGGGCTGTGGCAAGTGGGGGGCAGCGGGTGCCACCTGCACACAGGGCCTCCCAAGGGGGTGTGAATTGGGGCTACTGCCCCAGGCCCCGTGGACAGTGCTGTATAGGCCTTGCTGTGGCCACCATGCGGTGCTGGTGCCAAGCATTGCCAGCTCTGGCCACTCACCCTGGCCCCACACAGGCTGATATGCCCTGGGCCCTGCATACCCCTAGGGATGGCTCTGCCTGCACATGTATGTGTGCACATGGCAGCCAGGCAGTGTGGTAGAAAGCAGCTCCCTCCAGGTAGATCTATGGGGGAGTTCCAAGGCAATGGATTGGGGGTAGGGAGGTCCCACCCCAAGATTTCTGCACCCACAGCAGGGTGTACACCTGCAGTCAGGTCAGATCAGCTCTGGAAGGAACTGCCTCTGCAGCCCAGCGGGCAGGACTTGGCACAGAAGGGACCATGTGTGCTGCCATGGCTGCCAAAGTGAGGCACCCCCTGCCTGCCAAGCAGTAGTGGGGGCCACAACTCCACACCATTGTACCTCACCTTGACCTATCTCCCATGCTAGGCCCTGTCTGCTTGGGCTGCAGAGGTGGCTTCTGCCCAGAGCTGGTCTGGCCTGGCTGGAGCCCTGCACCCTGCTGTGGGCACAGAAATCTTGGGGAGCACATGCCTTGTCTGTGCGTGCACCCACTCCCTTCCTCACATGGGGGTTAGGGGTGGAGACAGTGGGTTGGGAGTGAGGGGCGCTGGGGAGTCTGGCTTAGTATAAATTTGGAGTATACATGTTTGGTATAAATTGACCAATAAGGTCTCTAGATTTTCTTGTTGTAGGCAACTCATTGTCACAAGTGTCAATAGTGTGTTTCAGGTAGAGATGGTCTTAACGTGTCGGAAGAGTTATGTTGCCAATCTGGCAAGTTGTATGTAGCCACCATATTGGATCCAAGATAGCTTGTGTTGTGGTTAATATTTCAGCCCTGCTAGGGTTAGAAAATTAATTCCAATGATGAAACCAACGTTGTATGAACTGAGATCAGTCAATATTTCTGTTGTGGTAGCCATATTGGATTCCTAGATGGCTGACAAATTAGCATGTATGTATCAATTCAGTGTAGTTAAAAAAAAAAAAAAAAAAAAAAAATTAAAAAAAAAAAAAAAAAAATTAAAAAAAAAAAAAAAAAAATTAAAAAAAAAAAAAAAAAAATTAAAAAAAAAAAAAAAAAAATTAAAAAAAAAAAAAAAAAAATTAAAAAAAAAAAAAAAAAAATTAAAAAAAAAAAAAAAAAAATTAAAAAAAAAAAAAAAAAAATTAAAAAAAAAAAAAAAAAAATTAAAAAAAAAAAAAAAAAAATCTAGTAAAAAAGCTAATACTAAAACCTCACAAATTTTATCACTACAACTTGATAGCAGATGTACAATACTGAAAACAACTCAGACTAGCCTTGTGTGAGTTGTGTGAATAAGTCAATACCATTTTTTTTAATTATTATTTCAAAATGCAGATAAGTTAGATATTAATAATCAGGGACCTGAGTTTTCACTCTCCTGTGGAAAAATGTGGATTTTCTCTTTTAAAGAAAATCTGCAAGGGGCTGCTTGGGGCTGGGGGGAATGGGAGGAGGGTGATCAGAGGCCGGGGGTGCCACATATGTATGCGCATGTACACATGCACATGACAGTCAGGAAGGGTGGTGGAGAGCAGATCCCACAACTCCCTGTAGGTTAGTCTATGGGGCAGGGGGAGGGAGGCATAAGCAACACATAGGGTGGGGAGGGCTGGTGTGGAGGGACCATAGGTGTTGTGTCAGGACAGGTATGGGGGGTCATGTGGCTCCCAGATTTCTGCACCTGTGGCGGAGCATGGGACTGTAGCCTGGCAGGACTGGCACTGGGCAGGAGCTGCCTCCACAAGCCAGCAGGCAGGACCTGGCACAAGAGAGAGCCATACCTCTATGATCACTAAGGTGAGATGCCCCCACCCCACCTGGCAGCAATGGAGGGAGCACAACTGCACTGCTGTCACTGAAGCACTTATCCTTGGCGGTCATAGTATGGCTGGCATGGGGCTTCCAGCAGTGGTGCAGAGTTGTGCCTCCACCTCCTCTGCCTTCCCCCCATCCCCCTTTCTGTCAAGCAGGCAGAGGACACCTCACCTTGCTGCCCATGGTGTTGTGGTGCTCCCTCCCACTCTGGGTCCTGCTTAGTGCCATTCCAGCTAGGCTGTAGCCCCATGTTTCACTGTGAATGCAGAAATGTGGGGAGGGGGCATGTGGCTGCCCTGCTGCCCCACTGCATGACAGCATCGCCTGCCCTATGCGCACATCCTCATGCCCCCCACACATGCACCTTACTCCACACACTGGGGCTGAGGGCTGTGGGTTGGGAGTGCAGGCAGGGGCCAGAGCATTCTCATATCGGAGCTGCTCAGCACTATAAAGCAGCAGGGTGGACAGCCACAGCTGGACCCACATCCTGGTTCATGAAGGGAACAGGTTTGGGGTGGGGGGCTCTGACTTTCCATGATAGAAAAAACAAAATCTGAACACCAAAATATATAGGTATTTAGAATTTGATTTTAATGATTGAGGTGCACTGGTAGACTTTCAAATTATAAATATATCAATAAAAATATTGTGTGCAACGAGAGAGAGGCATTTCATTTTAATCATGGAAAAACATGGATTTGGGCTTTTTTTTAATCTGGGAATTTTGGATTCTTTTGCCAGAGGTTTTGGGATTTCTAAACTCAAAGCCAGGAACCGTGCCCATAAGTTATGTTTCCCAGGTCTCTAATCATTTCTGTCACTCTGCTAGACTTTCTCAGTCTGTCCACATTTTAAGTGCAAGGTCCAAAACTGGATAGAGTTCTCCAAGTGAGGAACATCATTTATTTATATTAAATTGCTTATTTAGACTGAACAAAGTGCAAATATTTGGTAGGAAGCAGCAAGAGTGTTTTCTGCTTATACATCATGTAGCACATAGGGCTTCTGGTCAGTGGCTGAGGTACGTGGCTACTATGATATAAATAATAAAATCTGTATATTAGGAATGTGTCTACAAGCCCAATAAGGAGGAGGGGACTTGAACACACCATTTTGCTTTAATTGTAAGGCAAATAAATCTGTAGTACTATGTTGCTTTCTGCACAGACTGTGTCCCTTCCCTTTCTACTTTGCTATTTTCAATAGGCTATTAATCCTCTGGGCACAGGTAGGTTAGAGCAAGACTAGGGCATTGTCATGATGCATAAGCATTGATGGAGCTATGTAGAGCATTCAATATGTAGGATTATCATGCTGTATGAAATTTAAAGATGATCAGCTTCAAATTACTGGAAAGCCAACTCATTTGAAGTTCTGATAATTTCTTCCATAATTATTCATATTTCCAGTTGCTGGTAGAAAATACTGAATCTGAAGCTGCTGTTTTGTATAGGTGCACAGTAGACTTGGTCAGTTTGATGCCACAGAAAGGGTCTGAGTCATTTGAAAAACAGCGAGAAAGACATCAAAAGGTCATCCGTCTGCTCATGGCAGAATCTTCTTTATAAATCATCTTACAGAAAATGTTTGACCAACCTGTTCTTAAACTTCCAGTCAGGGGATTTTACAGCCTGAGTAATCTATTTCAGTGTTTAACCATCTCTGCTGGTAGGAAGTTCTTCCTTTTATCCAATCTAAATTTAGTTTTTTTGCAACATAACACCATTAAGAGCTTGTCCTGTCACCCATGGATGCTGAGAACAGTATATAACAACCCATTACCAAATTGCCTCTCAAAAGAAAGGGAAATCTAAATTGGTTCTGTTTATAGTGGAATGACTAAATCAAAGCCTTAAAGAAGTGTGCAGACTTGGATTCTTATGAGGAAAAAGTATGGATATTCAGTATTATGCTATTCATAGAATCATAGAAGTAGGGTCGGAAGGGACCTTTATAGATCTTCAAGTCCGACCCCCTGCCAGGACAGGAGAAAAAACAGCTCAAATGATCCCAGCTAGGTAGGTATCGAGCCTCCTCTTAAAGACCCCCAGGGTAGGAGTCAGCACCACTTCCCTTGGAAGTTGG